ATTAGGCAAGAGAAGAACCACGCCTATGTAATATTAAATTTGAAACACTTTGCAAGCAGTTGAAATGGGCGTGGGATATGTCTAGCATAGTTCTATGAGAATATCTATACAGATACTTCTATAAAACTGCTGCAAGTCCGAAGTACCTTGGGCCTTTTTCGGCACACAGGGGTTTTCGGCACACAGGGGTTTTCGTCACACCGGAGGGGAGGTTAGTAGTCTTGTTAGTAGGGAGGTGTTGACTGATTTCACGCGTCAAAGTTGACATTTTGCTGTGTGGCAGCATCAACATAGGATTTTCAATCCACAGTAGCAGTTGAAAAGTTTCATGAATATCGCATCAGTAGGTACAGAGCCTTCAGATTTGCTACTTGGTCCCGAGAGAAACTAATCACCAGCTGCATCTGGGAAGGGGCATTGCAGTGCAGCAGTAATCAGTCGATGCAGTTCACCCTCGCAGGAGTCCATGAGGCTACGTAGATTTTGTGCAAAAAGCACCACGTTCCAAATTATAGATTCAAAGTTGGGGTCAAAACCGTTGACAAAAGCTTTCCGCAAGGACGAAGACTGCCGCTCTGCTGTGGTCCAAAGGTCTCCTCTTCAGCTCCCGAAAGCGAGGCTCGAGACACAGCTCGCCTTGTATTGTCCCTCTGTATAAGAAGCCCAACTAATCGACAGAAGGACGGTATTGTTGTATACTTGCTGGCACGCTGTGATGTCTCTTTGAGTCTGGTCCGGTTAGCTATCGATAGGTACGCACTGATTCTCCAGTCTACTTACTTGAGTTCTGCGCAATAAAATAAGTCGACCCTCTCCGCGACAGTACATTTATCTCCTTAATTTGTAAAGTTAAAGTTTGGGTGTCCTGAAGTTCCGGTGCGGAGATCAATAGAACCATCTGGGTTTTACCGTTGTCGGATTGCGTCCCTCAATTTTGAGCAGATAAACCTACATCTGTATTTGTATCTTGTAAAATGTTAGTAGGAGGACCATGCCTGATAATAGAGGGAAACTATCATTAGCAGTAATCTCCCGGCAAATTACTGAATTACCCACATTTCGATTTTTGTTTTCTAAATTACCCAGGTATTTACCGAATTACCCAGATTTTTAGATTTTTTAATTTTTTTTAAATATCGCCGCGAAAGTATTATACTTTTTTTATAAAAATTATATCGTTTTATAGAGCGTATTTAGACTCTTTTATAATATATTTCATAATAATTTATCTCGTATGTCTCGGCTAAAATGTAAGAAAAACTTATAGTAAAAATGGCTAAATTTCTACTTAAATATATGTATTTTTTCTATTTTTATTAAAGTACTTTATATTATTTTAACTATAGCTTTTAGTTATTTGATTAGAATTTTGATAAATTAATAAATTATAAAAATACTTTAGAACAATTAAAAATGTGGGTAATTGAGTAAACAGGTGGGTAATTCGGAAAATAAAAATCAAAATGTGGGTCATTGAGTAATATGCCGAGCGTAACCACCAATCAGATAGCGCCTGCGCCGCCTCAAGGCCGCCCATCTGGTGCTTGCACGGCCTAACACCGCCTCACCGGTGCCTGTACGGCCCAACGCCGCGTCACTAGGCGTCGCTGAGGCTTGCGCTAGTAATTTACTATCGCTAAATGAGGTATTTAGGCGTATGTACAATAACTTCGAACGTAGTGAGCATGAAAAGAGATGCATTTAGTAGTAGCCCATTTTATTTTTTTACTGCAAAATTCGACTTAAAATAGCCCAATCAAAGGGTTTTTTATAGTAATTTACATACAATAGTAATTTACTATAACAATCATTTTAAAACTAGGCCGTTCCAAGTCGATTTTTTAACATTTACTGAAATGTCATTAATTACGTTTTTATTTCTGAGATGTCAGGTATTTGTATTATTATATGTCAGATTTTTTGCAAGTTACCGATATATCTTATCCTGATATGTCAGTAATATCTTAGACATTTCGGTAATTAATTCTTAAAACCTGATATTCGAGTAATTTGCCGTTGCAGCGAGCCGATTGCTTTGGATCTGACCGTCACCGATAGCCTGCTTCGCCAAAATCATCTGGGACGGATTTTGTGTGCGTCGGTGGATGCATTGTTGGTCGAAGCCGAGGTTCTCCGTTTTCTTGGTTGGGTAGCACACTCGCTTGTGAGATACGTTAATAGTATTCATATTTCAATTTGTTTATTTTAGTAATAAATAATAGCTTCTATTACGAGTATATTAACTTGTTTAGCAAATTTTTCTTTTGAATATGACTTTTTTTTAAACGTGATAAACTATCAATTTTTATATCCAGCTACACTTATAAGTATTTAGAAAAGGTAAATACCAAAAGCGACATGTATCCATATAAAAATCCCCAATTATGGCCCTCCAGCCCAAAACGACCCTTTAAACCGTACTTTATTGCCTTATCTGGCTGAAGCGACGCCTGGACCGCCTGCGGGTCGTCTGTGCCGCCTGTGAGTTGTTTTCGCCACCTGTTTTGGCTTTATGCGCGCGCATGAAATACTCACGATGCTTGACATGGTGTCAAGCTCATGATTTGTGAATGATCGCTGTTTTTCTTGCTTCTCCATATGTTTATTACTTGCAATTGGTGGGAACAGCTTGAAGGACACGTCTCGCGCAAACACTTCATGAACTGTAGATAAATGCAGCCGACTATCTAACCCCGACAAATTACTGAATTACCCTTTTTTTGGATTTTTCTTTTCTAAATTACCCACTTAATTACCAAATTACCCGGATTTTTAATTTCTTTTAGATATAAATTTTCAATTCAATTAGTAAAATTATAGCTAAAACCAAGTATAACACAAAAAAATGTATAAAAACCGTGTATGTTTAAAAAGATATTTAGCTATTCTTACTGTACGTTTTTCTTCAATTTTAGCTAAAATATGAAGATTATGAAAATTACAAAATATAATATAAAAGCATCTAAAAAATACACTATAGAATGATATAATCTTTATAAAATTATGTTGTAATTCTGCAGAGATGTATTAACCTAATTTTTGAGTAATATTCTTGATGTTTCGGTAACTAATTTGAAAAATCCGATATTTGAGTGATTTGCTGTAGTGAGACCAAACGAGGCGGGCCATGACAGCACCGTTTGTCTGAGAGCCGCCTTCGAAACGGTAAAAGATAGTTAAGACCTTCTTTTTTAAAGTACAAATGGTTCCAAGCACAATAGTACACTTATGAATATCTATAGAATACAGAACAGGGATGCTACCGGTGGAGATGAGGGAGAATTACTGTGGCGAAAATTCCGTTTGATGACGGCAAATGCTATCAAGTCAACGGTAGTCCGTGATCAGCAACGGGCCAGACTCTACCACATCGACTGCACACAGAAAAGGAAGGTATAGACTTGTGGTGTGGTGTTGAAGCACTCCTGCCGTCCAAGTTCGAATCTGGCACGATATATACGCTTTACTGGGTTTGGAACTGGCAGACACCAATAAGCGAGAAACCTCGGAGTTGGAGGTAGGAGGTATACATAAAATGCATTGACTTTGAGATCTTATTAGATAACGCAGTAAAGATAATTGAAGACCAACTCTCATTATTTCCTTACCAAACTTGCTAAGAAGCGGGAAAAATCTAACATTCAGATATTTCGCTTCATCTTCAGGGAAGCAATTTTCCTCCACGTTCCACAGTTCCAGTGTTTTTTCCCTTTCCTTATTCTCCTGGTGCTCACTCGAAACATCGGATACAGACCGTCCTAAACGGGGACCCAGAAACCCGGGTTTCTTGAAGCCCCAATCACCAGCCACTAATTCATTGGTATCAGACAACAAAACCGGTATTTTATGATATTTGTTCGCGCAAAGAGGAAAATGTTCCCTCCTGGGCACAAGTGAAGTTTGAGCAGTTGACAGTGAGACTCTTGCCACCCGATGGAGTTAAAGGCAATTGTAGACCCTTTGGACAGGCGGATTGAAGTCTCACGCTCACCAGATGGAGTGACTGGCTCACCATCATCCCGAGCGCCCATGTCGTTCACAATCTGTCCGCATGGGCTGTGCCGCCCAAGAAGTTATGGCCGAAGAATAACTGAGTCGATTACTTCTAGCAAAAACGTTTTGAAAGCCCTGTCAGGTAATAGCTTACCCAGATCGGCACTCAGATAACGCATCAAAAGGAATCACGGCCGGAGATGGGTCTGTATGCTGACCGCATATTCGAACACCGACCAAACACGCGAAGCACGGTTTCATCCCACACGCAGGTATCCGCAAGACTCTCAAAGCACGCACGCTTCCGGGAAGAGGATGGCCAGACCCATACGATACGGCTATATAGCGCAATCGGATTGATGTTCTTCACCAGGTCAGCTCCTTAGAATATACCGCTCTCCTATTATGCCGCCTTGCCAGAATTAAGCGGATAATTTGCCAAGGCGACAAATCCTTCACTAATAAGATGAACTCCGAGAAATGTCCCGGGAAGGGTGGCCTGTGAGGTTGCTTAGGATATGCTGCGAAAAGGCGCAATCTTATCAACGTCAACTTTGTAGCCTTTTATTCCAATAGATTGCCTTCCTCAGAACTCAAGGCAAGACGAAATGCCATCTAGTAACGTACCACCTACTAGTAGTAGAAAAGACAAGGAAAACTAATGGTCTTGAGCAAGATGGTAAGGGATGCACACACAGACGCTTGAAAAGCCAGTAGTCTCATTCTTTTCGCCTCGCGGAGTCTTTTACAATGCTAATATGTCTCCACAAAATCACCTTGATATGCTAAAGTGATGCAACCAACCCTACTAGAATGCTTTTATCAAAGTCTGCTCTGAAGGTACCCTCTGATTCAAGAGCTTCATCAAACCTGCGATTACGGAATGTTTGTTTTTGACAGCCTCAGAGAAAGCGGAAACAACTTAGGAGTGAATGACAAGTGAAAAAGAAAAACCTGAACAGCTCAATGGTGATGATCGACATAGAACGATTAAAAAAAGGAGCCAATTATGTCTCCTCTACGCCGCAAAGCTCGAGCAACTGCGGCGAATCGATAGTCATGTTCAGGATGTCGTAGTCTTCCTGCTCGAAACGGTATTTTCGATCTTTTTCTTCGCCGTTGATGATTTTGAGCAAGTGATCGTTGATGAGCTCACTGACTTGACGAAGGAACTCTCCGCGGTGATCTTTCAGAAAACCGATGAGGTGTTGTATAACCGGTCTTGGGAGTCTTTCAAACCTGTGCTGCGTGAGTCTCAAGTACTGTTTGCCTGTGGGCTTACTTACGAAGAATTTGGGTTCTCTTCCGATATAGGCACCAAAGCAAGTATACCGTAGCCAAATTCTTTGACTAGCTCGTGCCAATTTCGTCCGCTGCTAATCCTATTCTGGAGCGATTTTCGGCGTTTGTTGTACTCACTGTCATCCCTCGAGAGAGTCGGATAAGCTTGCTCCATCAAATCGTCTATCGCTAGTGTCAAGTAACGTTCGCTTGGTCCTTGCGCACGGTTTCGCGTCGGCTTTTGCTTTTGATAAGCCGCGACCGCATCGTCACGATGTTGCACAAGGCGGACAAGATAATAGCGCCGAAGGATCGCTATTGCGAATTGCTGATCATCGAGAGTGTCAAGTGAACGTACTATGTGACCAGTCGCATCGGCTAAGTCCTGTGGTGAGGAGCTTTTGCGTGTTCGTGAAGCAATAAAGGCTTCACGAAGCTTAAGCAATGCCTGAGGGCTGCCGATGTTGAAGAAATACCAGCTTAGGGTCTGAACATTTTCATCTTTGATCGGTGCTGGTGCCAGTGCCAATTGTTTAAGAATCTCGACCGGCGTGAGGAATTTTGGTGGTAAAGCGGCTTCTTGGACTCCAACGTGTCGAACCAGGACAGTAGCCCTTCGCTTCAGGACAGTGGCCTTTCGCTTCTGTTCTCTCTCTGAAATCGCCTCGTTCTCAAATTTCCTTTTCTTACTCGTGCTTGGGGTTTTCCCTTTGCCTATCCCATTCTCTTTCCACTTTCTGTTCTCAGCTACTGCATCGTAGCCGTCACCTTCATCTCCATCATCATCGTCTTCTTCCAGATCGTTCTGTAATTCTCCTTCACTGCACACATCCATCATACCACTCAATATTGAACCACGTGGGCAATTCCTTTTGCAAAATTGATACCCGTCCACCGTCCAGTCTTCTTCTGCAAAGTTCACGGCTTCTGCAATGGTTGGGCCAGTGCTGAAGCCTTGGTGATATGCGCGACCGAATGTGTAAACGATTTCGCCGGGCTTTTGGCTCAGAACTTTGTAAGAGACACCCCACTCCTCGAGACAGGACTTGGGACTGTAGCTGGCGTCGTGACGGAGGAATTGAGAACATGATGCTTTTCGCGATTCAATTCTGAGTTTGTCTTCCAAAGTCTTGAGAGACTGAGGTTCCACAATGAACCATATCTTCTCTCCAGTATAGAGGTAGTTCACAGAACTTAACCAGCAATCTTCCACGTGCATGGCAAACGGAGCGCCAAACTTCGACCCAGACCAATATGCATAAGGTGTATGTATGCCCGGGATATTTGTTCTGGTCTTAGACAGTCGGTTACCTTCCAAAGGGAAGATTGGCGAGTCTAGCGGGAGACCAAGTCGACGGCGTTCCTCTCCTGAACTAGCGTCGAGGTCGACGCAATACTCAACATCTTGGAACCAGTCGGGGGTTTGAAGGAGTGACTCGAATCTTCGTACAGAGTCGTCCGTTGTGGCATCTGTATTGTCCCCACACGTAGAGGGTAGACGTGCCCTCCGTGATGATCTCGTGACTTGGAATGTCCCGTTGTCCCGAGACTGTATTGAGAACCAGTTTTGCATGGCCTTGAAGTCGCTATCAGGAGGAGACAGCGCATAGCGAATACTACTATTCGGCACTAAAATCTTGAAAGCCCCCGTCTGATGTGCACCCAGTTGTCTCGCCAGTTGAATGAGACGGGGGAAGTTTCGATACTGATTCTCTGTCGGAAGAAGTTGCAATATGTCATCTTGCATCTCGTACCGAATTTCATCTTCTGGACCAGGTGGTTTTGGCTGTGAGGAAGAGCCTGCTGGGTCGCTCTCCGGGGCGAGATCCTGCTGCTTGCTCTGAGGTGGCTGAATGTCGTTCAGGACATCTGCAGGTCGGACCTTCTGCTGGACAGACGTAGGTAGATCGCCATTCCTCTCTAGCGTGTGAAGATCATCGTCGTCGTGGTGCTCAGCATTGGTGTGGCTCTGATTATCTGCTGAGGATGGCTGACAGGAAGCATGGCTTCCTGATGCTTTGAGAGTTTGACGACTCCCCGGAAGGAACAATTGCTGGCTCTGTCGATCATTGTTTTCGCAAACAACTCCCTCCTGAGTAGGGTCTTCGGTGTTATTCCCCAAGATGCGTTCAGTTATGCTTGGATTCTCGATCGGCTGGTCGAACGGCACACGTCGTTGTGCCTCGCTTGAATCGGTACAATGATCCGGACGGGTGTTTTCGTCGCCATTTGGAGCTTCGACTTGAGCTAGTACCATACTGTTAGACAGGTTGAGATGTCGGAAACATGTGCTTACCGACGGCCGTGAGCGTACCCGCTTGCCGAAGTGCACTGGACTGAGCTTCGCTGAGATGTAAGGAATACGTCTCTGCATAGAGTTGCACGTCCATGAATTTGCTCTTGAGCTCTGCTTGGATTGTATCGGCCTTTCCTGGGAAGGCATTGCACAAGTGTTTGACGGATTGTATAAGAAAGTTATAGACATGTTCGATCGTAAGTTCAAGGCTTTGCTCAGATACAAGAGTCTGTGCAAAATCGTTAATCTGGTTTTGGATGGTCTCGTTGCCGTCATTCATGGTGATTGTAGGGAGTATTTGTTGGGGTGATCGAAGGTAGGCGGCAGCGTCGCCACATTTATCTACTGCACGGATAATTTGCTCACGTGATGCGCACAGCTCCTGCACCACAGGAGGAGCGGTCAATGAAACCCCATCCGCCCTGGCACAGCGCTTCCTCAGGTGCCGCCCATAAAAAAATCGATCGCACACAGGTGATTGCCATTAACCAGATTTTGAACAATGATTCGACTGCATCGACCTTACAATGTTCGTAGACGAAGCCGGCGAGAGCGGATACGCGACCGTTGGCGCGTTGCAACGCACTGCGCGCCTTTGGGACCCCTCGACTATCGGACTCTCCACCGCGGCAGCCAACCGTCCAACGCCTGGAAATGTCGAAGGAAACGCAGGCGAAGATGAGAGAGCGCATCAGAAAGATGTACAAGCAGTCAGCTGCTTCCATAGAGCTGGCGCGTAGAACCCCGCGCCCATAGCTATAGATCAGCGCCACGTACGCTAACGTGCTCCAAAGAGCTCCGCCATGATGCCACCTACGGTTAAGCTCGACCTCGTCAACGCCGTCGGTACTGCAAACCCCAAGAGACACCCACATACGGCTGTAGTGAGCGTCGGAGAACAAAGAAGCTACGAAAGAAGCCAGGTGCCGTGGTATCGCAAAGAGCCCGAGCAATCCGAGGACGAGAGGAGCTACCAGAAGCATTCGGCCAAGGGAAACAGTGCCGACAAGTTGGAAATTCTGGGTAGGAACCGCACCACGGTCCATGTCGATGCACACCGGATAAGTGGAATGAAGAACAACGTTTAAGTAACGGGGTCCGTTGGTTGAGCAAGCCTACTAGCCATCTCTACAGATCGGTGCTACTACAAGTGCTAGAGTCCGAGCCATTGGCAATTTTGACACACAAGTGAAGCAAAATATGCTAGGTGTGCAGGCGTCAACGAAAAGAAGGCAACCAAGGTTTCGGGCGTTGAAAGATGCAGCTTCCAGTTGCCTTTCATAGCGTCGACGTTTAGAGGCTGTCTGAAGTACTACGGGCTGCTAGAGTAGATGTGACTGTAGTATAGCAGGAGAAGGAGAAAGCTAGTAGTATGGAGGCAATCGGGTCTCAAATATAAGGGCCCCGATGCTTTCTGCTCCGCTGGTAGGGGAACCCAGAACACCTAGGAAATTACTCTCGATGGAAGTCGCGAGGTAGTATAGTCAAAGGATTAAGGTAAAGATGGCTTTCATGTTTCACTGTCTTTAGAGATCTAGATTTTTTTTTGTTTCCCTCGCCAGGTAGACTTTTGCACTCTACTATCGCTTCCAAATGCCTGGGCTTTCGATGAGCCGGAATCTTCATGTATTTGAACAGTACTTCTTAGTGCGCCTTTTCCATATAGTTAGTCTATGTAAGCCAGAAAGTGTATCAATCTCTATTACTATCATATCTGCACAAAGATTTGTTACTGCTAAGCGTACAAGTGGTTAGCATGGCCATCCTACTGGCCGTGCTATCGGCTGCTACAGCGCTTACTAGAGGGCTGTAATATAAGAACAGGAAGCAATTGAATATCTTACAGCGTCGAATGGTAGCATTAGTATGATGGCCGCTGGCATGTGTGCAATATGGAAGTCGGGGATACCGAGCTGTACGGTGGCCGTGGGGCATGGCGAAACCCTGGAAAACCGGCCAAGAGAGCTTCAATTTTCTGCATTACCTTCACACTCTCACGTAGCACTCACACCCCTGCTGCCATTTTCTTCTCTCTGCCTTCTACTAGTCTTGGCGATTGTCAGGGTCTCCACGGTCCGCCACTAAATGGCACAAGCAGTCCAAACCTCCGACTACTCTACATAATCCCTATAATCCTGGGACGCTACTCATCCATGAGTGAGGGTGATTGTAGGTTATTTTCGCAGGAGATTTAACATAAAACTTGAATCTCTTAAATTGCCTGTGTATGATGACATCTACTTGAAACCGGCAGGTACTCAGTTTCATATTTACTGTAGAGGATGAGTGGTACTGGAAAATGAGCTGAGCCATCTCTGTCATTTTTATTGGATAACGTGTTTCACCAGTGATCTGCGCACCACGTTTCTCAACAATGAAAAATGTTAGTGCTTCGGCGGAGTTTTGTATTTCTCCAACCACCCGCGCACAGATTAGATAGCAGCTAATGAAAGCGAAGATAATTGAGAAGAGGGCTGTTCCAAGGCGTCAGAGTGAATTTATGTCTTTTCAATGAGCACACCAATGTCGGACAGTATTGATGCCCTCCATACTTCCGAGTGAACGAGTGGAAAATATATAGTGCTGCTTAGGAACACGAAAAAAGTCTGATAGCCACTTCATTCAGTCATAGTCTGCAGCTCTCAAAAAAAAAAAAAAAAAAAAACAGCGAGATATATCAAGTACTGTGGTAGTTGTTATGATCAAGTGCATACCCTCGAGTTGTTAGGAACGTGGTTCCCCCATGAGCGTCTGTCCTGGGGAGATGGGATGCTTATAGTACTCAGAATCCGTTTCGCCCTGGCTCGCCGAAGATTAATTTGAGCGCGAAATATGCACCTCTCTTAACATGCTTATGTATTCCTTTTTAGTTATATTTGTGATGCATACCCCGTATTGTAACGTATCACGGAATCAGAGCGACTGTGACGCAATGGGATAAGGTTTCAAAAGTCGCCATGGGCAGCTACGTGCATGCTTTCTTTGTGCTCAAAGCAGACTCTCACTCGTCGTCCCCATCGCTATTATCAAAATAAGCTACAGTAATATGGACAGAGTCAGCCAGGTGTTGGCGTAAAGTCGTCCTCTAAACGTCTCTAAAATATACACTGCCCTAGCAGCACGCGGCAATGTCTTTCTCTCTACCCTCTGTCGTTGTGCACACGGAAGACGCTTGAAAAAACCAAACGCCTGAATCCAACAGCATCTCAGCTTAATGGAAGAGAAAGCCATCTAAAAGCTTTCGTTGCGAATTTCTGATCTCAAAAAGTCTGTGCCAATCAGCTTTCTATCTTCGCCTTTCTTAGTATTACTGGCGAGCATTCCATGATCTACATGACGTTCAAGCCTCTAGTAAAGAAGTGACTGGCCCCAGGCTTTTGAGAAATGCCATCCATCACCAGGGCAAAGGAAGTACAGTGCGATAATCTGGAATCGTCACGTGAATAACAGCTATAATAAGATGACGCACTGGTTTCAGGTAATTGATTGAGCTGAAATCATATTGAGCCGAGTTCATTTGTCTCGACCCATCCCTTGAGCGATATGCAGGCTCGAAATCATAAAAGTTGATCGCACCCTATCAACTACTAAGTCTTCATGACTTAAGCTCTTCAGACGAGCTAATCTTAACAACTACTTCCTCTGCTTCCAAGTGAGTTTTATCTTTGGCGTCTTCCTGGGCTAGGTGGGACGCTTTCGCTTCCAATTTTGCTCCGGAACATTCGTAAAGTCTAGCCATGAGATAATTCTGAACACATGATCCTGTGCCATATATACATCATGCTCAGCCATCGGAAGCTGTACAGTGGTTCTGCGTAACATGTACTCTATATGATCTAGGTATCTGGGATCGTTCAGTAGACTTTCTTCCTGGATGCTCCAATGTAGAGACGCATTCGGCATATTACTGAATTACCCACATTTCAATTTTATTTTCTGAATTACCCAGGTATTTACTGAATTACCCAGAATTTTTAAAAAATTTAATTTTTCTAAGATATTTATACGAAATTTTAATATTATTTTACAAAAATTATATTGTTTTATAGCGCTTATTTAGACGCTTTTATAATATATTTTATAAAATTTTCATCTCGTATATTTCGGCTAGAATTTAAGAAAAACTTATGGTAGAAATAGCTAAATATCTCGTTTAATATATATATATATATTTAATTTTTATCTAAGTTTTATACGTAGTTTTATCTACACTTCTTAGTAATTAAACGAGAAATTTAATATATATAAAAAACTTAGAAAATTATTTAAAAAAATTAAAAATGTGGGTAATTGAGTAAATAGGTGGGTAATTTGGAAAATAAAAATTCAAATGTGGGTAATTAAGTAATTTACCGAAACGCATTCGCCTCCTGGACATTGACCAAGCGTAGGCGTTGCTGCAATAATCTCGCGAAATCATGGAACACCATACCCTGAGAACTCTCATTCAAAGATGCCGACTGCGTTTGAAGAGCCATGCGCTTCCGCTTGATGGTAAAAGATCGGTAACTGGCTTCCATAACTAGGAAAAATAGGTGTTCTAGTGCCGCCCCGTGATCGATTTCAATAGTGTACTCCCGAGCGACTAGACTGTTGAAGCCATATACGTAGTCAAGAGTTTCTTGACACGTAGCGAATTCTGCAAGCGCCATTACAGCTAGCCAATCCAATTCGTCTTCGAGGTGTGAGGCGCGACATGAAACTAGTTTCAAAATACGTGTGATCCCAAAATTAGCTTGGGAATCCGCTTTAGAATCTGCATGAATCGCCCAAACCTCCAGACACGGCTGAAGTCTTTCGATTTCAACATCCTTTCCCCCGATTGTAATTGTGAGTTTCCGTGCGAGTATCACTTCTTGTCTGATCTAGGCCCGACACCAGTATGGATTCGAAGTCAGCTCACCCAAGAATTTGGGATACTCGTCAGATCTCACTATTAGTGGTATATGATAGTATCTGATGATATCAAGCCAATGGTCACTCCGGGCAGTAGCTCGATCCAGCCATGTAATAACTTCATCTGCGCTCCCGTAGATGCTTGCCATTTGAGCAACCTGGTTATTTCGTTCATGCTCATTCTTCTAACTGATACAGATTTGATCTAGGGGCTGTCACCGAAAATGACCTGTGTTTACCTCAAAAACCCAATTGCGACCCCGCTAGCCCAAAAACGACCCTTCCACCAAAACCCATATTTTTTTTTAAAAAAAAAACATTGTGGAATTTCAACGAAATGGAAATTTTAACCTCTTTTTATCTTAATTATGTAAAGCGGCATATTACTGAATTATCCACATTTCAATTTTTATTTTCCGAATTACTCATCTATTCAGCGAATTGCCCAGAGTTTTTAAAATATTCCTATACATATTTTATTTATTAAATTTTTGATTAGTCAGTAAAGAGTGTAGCTAGAATCAAGTATAGTAATTCATTTGATATAATAAAAACGTACATAATCAACGAGATATTTAGCTATTTCAATAAAACATATAAAATGTTAAAAATATAATATAAAGTGTCTAGAAATAAAAAACGATATAAGTTTATAAAAAATATAATATCTTTGCGAAAATATTCTAAAACAATTAAACACAAATCTAGGTAATTCGGTAAATAGGTGGGTGATTCAGAAAATAAAAATCAAAATGTGGGTAATTCAGTAATTTGCCGACTAAATTACCCACCGTTTGAATGTTATTTACCCACTTACCCCCCTATTTACCGAATTATCCGAAAGTCTTTTTATTATTTTTTTTTCGAATGTTTCTACAAAAGTTTAATATTATTCTATGAGAACTATGCAGAGTTATAGAGTAAATTTAAACGTTTTAATATTTTATTATTATAGCTTCTCTACGTTAGCTAGAAATCAAGACAAATATTGTAAAAATAACTGAAAATTTCTTTAGATAAATATAGTATTACTATTTTTCTTCAATTATTATATTTTATTTTAGCTATGATTCTTACTGGTTTAATTAGAACTTTAATAGATTATAAATATATAAAGAATAATTTAAGGGAATAAAAACCAAAAATCTGGGTAATCCGGTAAGTAGGTGGGTAATTTGTTAATTTGCTGGAA